TATCATGGCGCTGTGAATTTGTCAGGATGTTGCGTGTCAGAGTTCATCTTCCTTTCTGCTTTATTTACAGGTCACCACACCATTTACATCGGCGTGCACGTGCCCAAGAGCTATCGACGTCGGAGGCGTCACCGCCGGAAAACCGGCCACAAGGACAGAAAGGAGAAGTTGATGGAGAATGTCTTTGACAAGTCGGAGACAGAAAACAACGACGAGGCCAGCAACAGCATCCTCAAACCTCTCAGTAAGTTCTGATGGACTCGGTGTCAGGCCTGATTAGAGTTCACGTCTGTCTTTGCTGAAGGCTGCTCTCTTTTCCAGAGAAAAACGCTTCTGTGACTCTGCGTGACCTGAGCAAAGTTGCTGAGTCCACTTAGTGGCCAGAAATAGCTTTGTATGTCCTGCTAAGTGACAAGTCTGCCTCGACAGAGGACAGTGAATTTCTTAGGAAGTCGTGGTTGTGAAGATGCGAATGCAGTAGAGCTGAATCGTCCCGTGGCTTTGTCATAATTTTAGACAGGAATATGTCTGTTTTGGGTATACGGTAGCATGTATGTTGTATGTGCTGGTGTTTGTTTTTTGGTTGCCTTAACCTTCTTAGGAGTGTAAAGTGCAAAATGCCCTCAGGCTGCTGAGATCAGTGGATGCTCAGACAACCAGCTCTGGCCAGTTGTGAGGAAACCAATAGAAGAGGTGGGTTATACTGGGTGACATAAGTATAAGCAAAGCTCTTAATGGTATCAGCATTTTTCTCGGTCACTGCCGTGTTCAAGTTAAAGTTTCAGGTCAAGTAAGACTAAAATCCTTCTGGCACCAGAAACTTTTAGTGATGTATTCAGTCACAAAGAGAAAAGCTCACGACTTAGTCAAGCGAACAAACTGAAAGGAAGCTCAGTGTTTTCGTCGAACTGCATGAACAGTTTGGTGAAGATGGGACTCTCCTGGCAGTTTTTGGAGAAACAGAGCATCATAACGCTGATGAGTCCTCGTGAAAACAGCTTAAGATGTTCTTGTGTTCTGCCAAGTCGTATAATGAGGCAGACCGCTGTCATTTCCAGAGAATGATGCAATTTTACACATGCCTGCATGCGCGTGATGTGACAAGAGGACTAAAGTGTGCCAAAACTGGATTTCACAGTGTGCACACATCACTCCATGAGAGGGATTTTCATAAATCCAATCACAGAATAGATTACAGCCGGCCCATCTGGTTGGTGCTGGTCACTGTCCACATGCATGTTTAGCAAAAACTGTGTTTTTTTTGGTTTCTGGGATATTTTTTTAATTACAGTTAGGAGTATTGAACAGCATGGGGCTGAAGTCAACTGTAACTGGCTTTTATAGTGTATGAATTCATTTTTTTGGTATGTTTGTTTAGTAAGAGCTTTGTGTTTTTATTTGTTTATTGCAAGTAGGGAATGTGTCATGTATTAAAGTCTATGATTATTCATCATCAGTGATAGCTCACCAATCAGTAATACATGTTTCATATGGTAAATGGCCTGTATTTATAGTGCTTTATAATGCTTTACTAGTCCCTAAGGACCCCAAAGCGCTTTACATATCCAGCCATCCACCCATATTCACATGGTGATGGCAGCTACATTGTAGCCACAGCCACCCTGCGGCGCTCTGACAGAGGCGAGGCTGCCAGACACTGGCGGCACCGAGCCCTCTGACCACCACCAGTAGGCAGCGGGTGAAGTGTCTTGCCCAAGGACACAACGACCGAGACTGTCCAAGCCGGGCTCGAACCGGCAACCTTCCGATTACAAGACAAACTCCCAACTCTTGAGCCACGATCGCCCTCGTATATGTTGTAATTCGTGAAGGGAAGGCTGTGTTTTTGTTCCTAAAACTCTCTGGTGCTGTCGCCGCCTCGATGGGGGAGCAGATGAAACCTTACGCACTCTGATTTGTTGATTTGACCACTAATAAAATGTCAGTTTTATTAGCGGTCAACACTGTTTGCTGTGTGGAACACCACAAACGCAGAGCATACGGTACAGTTGGTGTTGTTGTACAATCGGCTGTTCTTATGTTTTATTGTACGTAAACAGACTTTTGCACATTGTGTTGATGTGCTCCATTTACTACTACATGTGAAAAGTCTCTCTTTTTAAAGTTATGAGCTGATTACTTCATAGATGAATGCCAATTGTAACGTCAAGCTTAGCTGCATATATGAGTAACTTTCAGATTTCATTGTCGTCATAGTGAAATAACATGAAATATTCTCTGATCGATAGACTACAGGTAGGGGTGGGCGGTATAAATGGTATACGGTCGAAGCGATATGAATTTGGCCAACTGTAGAGATTTTGACTGTACCGCTCTACCGCGATAGCGCATGTTGATGATGTCATCAAGCTGCGCCTGTTTTGGTTGAAAGCATTGCCACTGTCACTACCCGATCTGTACCGAAAACCCGATCGGTACCACGCATGTGCAAATCTTACCTCACTTCCTCTCTTTGCCAACACTGCGACATTTAATGTATTGGAATGACACGGTCAGCGCCCAGTTAGCTGCTAGCATTTCTCGACAGCTCTGCCTCCTTTTCGACTGCCCGGGACATTTAAATAATGGATACCTCGTATACAAACAAATTCAGGCTTTTCTCCTCAACAGAGAGCGTCCCCCGATTGAACAACAACGCTGTAAAATAAGAATAAGAATGGCGCCTAATTACAGACTTAATAGTACAGACTTAGTAATGTGCCACGTGAAGATTCATCAGCCAGATTAAGTGTTTACTGATGACTGACAGTGATAGTGGACATCGTCATCATTATTCCAATCAATCCTCTCCACACAGAAAAGCTTAAACACACTCGACTATCACTAAATCAAATTTAACACGCACACACAAACACGATTTGTAATGACGCAAATTGATACGATTGGTGCATCTACTTAAAATCTTGTACGAGTTCGAATCTTAGTGATCGCAAGGTTAGAGGTCAAAGGTCAAGTTTTCTGAAAATCTTGTGAATGCGATAACTTGAGAGGTTGGAGATGTAGGAATTTGAAATTCATACTGTATTTTTTAATTGATAAAATAACACAAGTTACAGGTAATTTTAAACAAAAGGGCAGAGACGGGACAAAAAAAATTAATTACCTTGAGGGTTGATTTCATTCGACATATAGATTAACTACATTCACTGTCAAGCTTATGATCAGTTCTCCTGCAGTCATTTCAGTTTTTTTATATACTGTCAAATCACAGCAACAGTTGTTTCAAGGTGCTTTATGAAGTAAAGATTCTGCAATAATACAGAGAAAACCCCCAAATCAAACAACGTCTTGGAGCAACCACTTGGTGACAACGGGAAGGAAAAACTCCTTTTTAACAGGAAGAAACCTCCAGCAGAACCAGGCTCAGGGAGGGAAAACCGCCTGCTGTGACCAGTAAAGGGTGAGGAGAGGGAGACGGGACAAAGACACTATGCTAAAGAGACCCTAATTTAAAAAAAGAAGACTTTATTAAATTCTTTCCATAAATGAATCCCCATCACCTCATGACATCCACAACATGGGTCCTCCCAAGTGTCATCCTCTACAATTGTAAAACTCAAATCTGCAGGCATTCAAAAACTGACAGGCATGCAGTAATGTCATACTGTTATTCACTCCATGTTTGTCTCTGTGGAAAACATGGCCGCCCCCAGGGGAGGGCCGTGTTCTTTCTGAACTCAAATCCTCTTGTTTGGTCAGATGGACACTGCAGGGACTGCAAGTGCGTCCTCCCGGTTACGTGCATGTCCACTGCACAGCTTTCTGACCCTGCTCATTTTGATGAGTTTTGGTTTTTCCTTTTAAATCCTAACCTTTTACTCATCTTTTTCTGCTCTGGGGTCAAATGCTCTTTCAAAGTGGATTATAGGGATTACTTAGAAACTTAGCTTGCACACAGATAATAGCTTTAGTTTCTCAAAGTCACCGAGAGCAAGCTGTGATTGCTATAATTGTTTTTTGTATATGGATTCCCAAATGGAAAGACTTTTAACCTTGATGAGCTTTTCCTGTTTGATAAATGCAAAGATTTAGAGAAACACTGCAAAGTTTTCTTCTTATTCCTGAAAAGCATAAATGTGTGGCATGTATGCTATCCCAAAAACATGTCTAGGTAACAAGTTAACAAAAAAACTATGTTTACACCACAGGATGGTCTGTGGTACTTTAGGATTACCTTAATCCTAAACATATTCCAGCTGTTTGCTTACCTGGTCAACACACAAGAATGATTTTTAAAAAGAAACACTATACAGAACACTTCACTGTACTTTTCTGTGTGTTCACTGTAAAGCCTGAATGATTAAAGTGCTGCAAAAGTATGTCGAAAACTATAGATAGAAACATATCACACTATCATTTTATTTACTTTAGTTATTCTTCTACACTTTTTGACACAGACTACTGAGACATGCATGAGGACATGCAGAGGTTTGGTGTGACAGAGGAGGATGCTGGGGATCAGGTGAGAGGGAGGCAAATTCCCTAAAGGGAGCAAAAGTGCCATTAAACTATCGTGACATAGTAATTTTTCAGGGATCAATGCCATAAACGGCCACTGACGAGCTGAATATTCGAGGGCTTATTTGGATGCTTTTGGTATAATTTTGTTAGAGAACTTGTCTAATAAAGTGAGACAGAGCAGCGAGTACCAACTCATTTATTTTACTTGCAAGGAAGCAAAAGCATAATCTATGTAAATGCTCGCCCACACAATCCCAAGTTTCATTTATATACTTCTTTGAACGTTATCCTGGGAACAGATATGTGTTCATCTTGCAGAGAAACAGTTCAGTTACACAGTGAACTCGGACATCTGGATAACAGATAGCAGAGGAGCCACAACAAGGCCTGAGACAAGGACAGAGAAAGATTCCTTCAGCTTGCAGTAAAGAGTGTTGCATGGCTTTAATAATTTTTCCATCAGATATCTAATATTAATAACAATAACCTCATTATTATCTCATTTTAGCTGTCTTAGTCATTATCTCAGCACTTTTTGCCTAGTTCACTTATAGTGATTAGCTTAGTTATAAGTTAGCAAGCTACTGAAGCTAGCTAAAACATGCACACATGGAGTCACTGGACTTTTTTTAATGATCCACATTTAACGCAAGCTGCAGTGTTTCAAAATGTTTGTTTGAAGTATCGTAACCTAACAGTGTTACTGATGGGCCTGCAGGTTTTTAACTGTTTTTGCTGATGCTTGCTTCTCATTGCTGGAAT